AGAGAATGTCTTTGTATGGTTTACCAGTCTGTCGGTTTCGATCTAAGGCATCAATACCGCGATTTTCCACGATGTAGTGAGGCAGACTTTGACCTCTCCCTATCGGATGGCCTCGTAGCTTGGTGACGAAGAAAGTGATATTGGTCACGTGTTCTACGACCCATTTGGAGTTGGGGCGACGTTGGCGTACCCATTCTAGGACATCGAGATTCTGCAATGCTTCACGGACATGTGGAAGATCGGCTGCAGTTGTGATTTGAAAGGGCGCCTCAAAGACTTGCTCGTTATTTCTGGAGGCATAGTAATATTGTAGTGCACCGGTCTCGTTGTTTCTCAGAATGAAACCAAAGGAGACATTAAGTTTAAACACGGTTGACTGGTCGGTAAAGATCTCGTCAAGGTGCTGTATAACCTCTTGAGGTTGTGGGGAAGACAGACGATAGTTATACCAGTCCAGTAGCCGGTTTTGGCGGCTAAAACGAGTGCGGATTTGATGCCAGTGGCGACGGTACTCGAGAACAGAACTTTGTTGGACTTCAGATAAGTCAGTCACGGTTCTTGGATCTTCCTGCCAGCTGGAACTTGAAGTTGCTTTTTTCTCGATAGGATTGGGCTTCATTTTCTTGGGTTTTGGCTCTAAATGGAAAATAAAAATTCCAATGTCTATTCCCAAATCCAAACGAGGTATCCAGAAACACAAAAGAGTTGTTTATACAATGTATTGTTTAACATACTCAAATTAGCATACGACTAATCCAATTTTTTCCACTTCATTGCTTTTACCTAACATTTGTGTAGGATTCACTCTCTGAACAAAAGTTTTGTTCCATCATGTCTAAAATATGATGTGCTAAGCCTCTGTACAAAGGCAAACCAAAGACTTCTATTGTTTTAACATCCCACGGCTTAAATTTGCATACGACTAATCCAATTGTTCCACTCCACTGCCTTCTCCTCAAATTTGCATACGGTGCAGCTTTCAAACAAAAGACATGTTCAAACATGCCATAGCCTCTATTGTGTTGCAAGAAGCAAGTAAAAAGTTACCTACGACTAATCCTTCACACAAAATATAATTTTATCTTACTGAAATACAACAGAAAAGTTCACTGCTTCCTACCTGTTTCCTCGTCCCTTGGACGCTTCTTACTTAAAGAGGGTTTGGTATGAGCTGTTTGCTGGTGCGCTCGGAATGGAGCCAGATTGTAAAATGTCTCTCCACTGGTACTACACTTATACTCCCGCTGAGCCGCTCGGCGTTCATGAACGTGTTTCACGTGGCGCTGCAAGTGTGACATTCGATGAAAGCTCTTGTCGCACTTATCACACTGATGTTGGTTTTCGTTGGTATGTGTCTGTTCATGGCGTCTCAGGTTGTCCACACGAGTAAACACTTTACCACACGTCTCACATGCATGGCGAGCACTTTTGGCAGGAGGTATGTCTACATCATCCTAAAACATCAAATGAATCGTATATTAACTACCTTGACAAGCTAGAGAAATAAAGTACTTACTAAAACACTTACCTGTGCTGCTCTTTTCCTACCCATGCCGCTCTGAACTTGATTGGAAGAAGGTTCCTGAAAAAGTGTAATGGAATAATAATTTCAACAACAGAAACTGAATTTAGTGCGACGAACAATAATTACTTCAGTTTAGTACGACGGACAATAATTATGCTATAACATTTCAATAAGGACTCATACCGTTTCAAATTCTTTCTCCCAATCGCTCCATGGGTCCATCACTTCGGGTGGAATAATGGAATCCACCAAGGGAATGCTGGAAGACTGATCCTGGAATGGAACTACATCTTACTAAAAGAAATTATCACTCAATCACATTCAAACGTTAATAACGTACCTCTTCTGGAAATGTTAAGGTCATCATTCGATCCACCGCTTCAGAAATCTGATCGCTTGGTATCTCGTTGTGCCAGATGAAATTTTCAAACTCTTCCAAAGTGGTGAACTGGTTGAAAGCCATGACTACTCGCACTCAACTTACTCACAACTTGCGAATGATGTGCTTGGAAGAAAGCGAGCTTTTATAAGCTCAAGAACAATAAACTATGACATCATCGATCTAAAATAAAGTTGTCAAACGGGTTTTACCAGCATTTTAAATATAGAACACGTTAATTAAATCCACCGCACTATGAATAAAGACAAAAGACTCTTGCGTCATCGACGCTAATTTATTCCACCGCATTTTATTCATGAGTTCAAGACAATACGTTATGTAATAAAACAAAAATAAACCAGTTATATCAACCAGGCTAAAAATAGAACCTGACAAACCGGTCAAACCAGTATACTTAATTAAATCCACCACATTTTATTCATGAGATGAGGACAATAGCCTATGACGTCATCGGCGGTAATGTATTCCTCCCCACCTTAATGAGAATCCTCCCCAAAAAAGAGGCCTAACCGGTCCCTCCTATACTACTACGTTGTATTTCGAACGGAGTAGCCCAGTTCCAACTGTTTGAGCCAGAACGCCTGGTGACTACTTTATAGCTTCAAGTCGAGGCTTAACGGAAAGGGTGCCTATTTTTGAAAGCACATGAACTAAAGCTGGAGAGTCTGACGTGTGTTAAAAATGATGTATTAAGTCATGTTCGTGCGTAAAAATAATTTAAAAAGGTCAGACCTCCCTCAACTTTTTCGGTTTTCGAGTTAGAATAATCTTATAACAAAAAAGATCGTCTTTTGTCCTGGCGCTGATAAAGAGTTTAAAGAGTCTGCACATATGCTCTGAGCATTTTAAGACCGAACAAATCATGAAGACCTTGTCTGGAACTAAAAGATAGCAAAAGGGACGGTCCCGACGATTTGCTAACCCCGAAATGAGTCCCTCGAAGCCAAACTGTCAAAGTGAAAAACTGATGAATTACCAAAAAAAAAGGAAAATATAAGATTTCAAGTTGGCATAACATAGTAATCGTCAAAAAAAAAATACTACTTCAGCATTGAAAAATCATTGGTAAATTTACAAATAATGGTATTTTTGGTAGGTAATTGGTAGATTGGAAAATTATTCCAACAATGGAGATGAATTGGTTGATTCATTACATAATACTAAGAAATATCAGCATTAGGTTTTAATCAGCCATACGTTATTCTGCTGCTTCTCGAACTGTTGAAAGCTTTCAGCACGATTGACCAACTGCAAGATTCTTTTGCGCAGACTATCTAGTTGTACCTAGATCGTAAGCAAGTAGTCAATGTCTAGGGACCAACATCATAAGCAAGGACTGGCAATTTCAACTCCGTAAATCGATCAGCCGTTGAACCCGAGATTAAAGCCTTTTGATTTGAAATACGCATAAATACCTAATTTTCTTTCCACCAGCTTCAAACTGTTCAATATCCTTCCTGCATACTCATTAGCATTTAGTTATGGGAAAGTCACCCCAGACGAGTGAACCCGCTGGGGAAGACACGTAGGTGCTAATAGAGTACACAGGTGGGGTGGGAGGGCGGGGCGAATCCAACCAAAGTTAGACAAACTGACAACTATGAATAATCAACACATGCTTATATAGTATGCACGAAGTCTAATGAATATTAATAAGATATGAATAGTGGCAGAGAAAAATGCTTTAAATAAATGTGGATGGTCGACTTTACTGGACCGTGGAGTACATCCAGCGAACTTAGAGATCACGCAGGGTGTCTAGTGGTCGCTTAAAGAGATAGCAAGGGGTCACAAGAGGTCGCTTACACAGGTTCCTAACGATAGGGCTTCTTGTGGGAAAATTTGGTGTTTCGGATAGATCTGTCGCCTATGGGAGTTGGTAGACTAAGAGCAGCCTCTTATTTCTCTTTTGAGTCACAGTATATCAAGAGTACGCGTGAGAAGGGATCCGATGAGGGTACTCCCTATAATTTGCTGTACTGGGAGGCTCCACCCGAAAGGGGTACCTATTTCAGGTATATAAAAGGAAAGGGATTTGACGAGTTGAGGTACATGGAAGGGAAAGGAGATCTGCTACTCGGTGTATAAAGAACTGAAAGGGCTAACAAATGGTTTTTAAAGGCTTTGTAGAAGTCAAGAAAACGTCCTGCCTTAGTGATTTATTCATATTTAAAAGAATACAGTGCATTCACAGCAGTTAAAAGGGATGCAGTGTTCTAGGCTAGATATGTGAAAGGGGTGCGATTTGTCAATAGAAGGTATATGAAAAGGGTAACTTTTCTGTCAAAAAAGGTACGATGAAAACGCTAAGGGGTTGAAACTCGAACGGAGCCTCTGTGTATAAAACGTAATTGGTTTGCCCCCTCCCCCTTCCCCCTCCCCCTCCGGAGATAGGAGCGGCGAAGCCGCGTAGGAACGAGCCAAAGTTAATTTGCATAATTTTACTTTTCACTCGCCGAGGGTGGCTCTAGAGAGTTCGTGCCACTGGTCACCCTAGATAAATGTATTTTTAATTTTTCAGAACGTTAGACAGTTTACATGCCAGTTTAATATATTGGAACTTTAGACATGTCCCTTAACTCGAAACGATAATTGATCCTTGGTGCATGAGGATCAGTGGTAACTACTTACAGGAGGTACATTTACAAAGAATTTTTGTCGCACTTTCAGCAATTGGGAACATCACTTATTTCCTGTCGATTGGTATGAAACGGAATGAAGAATCCCCTCAGAAATACCAGGAATAATAATAATAATGGTATGGAGCTAGTTTGACTGTTGCATCAGGCTATCTACGTTAAATCGCACATATCCATGGTCCCGGGGGGTTAAGAAAAAAGCCGGTACTAATGAATCACCCACTTTCTTTATTTTTATTTCATCTAATACTACATGATGCCATTTATTGAGAGTTATTATTTCCCTTTCACTCATACTAGGACCATTGCAGTAATTCTTGCTTGTTTTTACTTTAGATCCTGGTGTTGAATAGTGCCGATGTGGTTAGCTTTCTTTTAAAATTGACCCTTAAAATTTAAAAAGGCTTCCGTTATGGTGACTTCAATCAATAAGTTCCTATCGCACGAAGATTTTCCAAAAATCTCCACGTGACACTCCCACATTATAATCGTCGCATTCCCACCTGCCAGACGGTTCAAGAAGCCAGTGGTAAACTGCCCATACAAAAGCAGCGTGGCTGTATAATCTGTCGTGATCTATATCAAAACCCCCCCATTTGCCTATTTTTTTAGAACCGTTTTCGTAACCCCAATCTTTGCAGGCTCTTGATAACCGCGAGTTATCATTACTCATGATCACAAACGAGCCACAAGAGGCAGGCATCACATCTGTCTCACCACTGAGGTATTTCACAGCAGCTTCACCTTTGCTGTTAGCAGCCGTGGTGATGTGAAATGTACGACCTCCTCCTTCCTTGCAGTGAAATCTTATCTGAGTGAAATGCAAGTGCTTCCTCAGCTCCTTCATGGCACTCTTTGTAAGTAACATCTCTTTGCTGCTTACTCCGCGGTACGATGTCTTAACTGGCAACTGAGTCGTTGAAGAACCGTGCGAAACAACGTTGGATACAAGAAGCCATCCCCCTGAAATTCGATAAATGTTTATCATTGGTTTATCAGTCATGTGGGCCAAAAGAAGCAGTAATGTTTAGTTCAAAATAATTCACACGGCGGAAACCCACCGTGGGCTTAATCATTGTTAAATATAACTCAGGCGAACTGTACAGTACCGCAACTGATCTCGACCGTAAACGATCCTCAGACCGCAAATGATCCCCAAAATGGACCCCAAATGATCCTCGACCTCAAGTGAACCCCATTGTCGACCGCAAATTATCCCGAGATGAAAATCAGAAAGCCTGGACTTAAGTTACTGGGTCATCGTGTCACGTTTACTATCGCAACAAAAAGTATTAAAAATTCAACTGAATAAATTTAACAAATAAATGCCAAGACTGAAAATATAAGAAACCGTAAATATAACATAAATAAACGCAAACAAAAAAAAGGAAACACTTAAATGCTCAGTAAAACAATAGCTCTTGCTTAATCGCTGTTTAACATCAAAGCTTCACTGAACTAAACTTCACACACTATAGTTCAATTAGATGCAATACTCTTAAGAAGAAATTGCTCAAACCCTGCCTCGTATCAACTTTAGGAAACGATAACTTTTGTAACGGCGAAAGTCTCTGAAAACGAACCCAGATAAAAGCTCGCTATAGTACACTGAACCCCATTAAGATAATTCTTTGCTCATGGGTACAAAATTTTCCACTAAATCGTTCCTTCGTTTCTGTTTCCCTAATGTTGTAACTGTCTGTCTGTCCAGCAGCAAAGACACGGAAAATGAATACACAGGTTTGCGCCGACAGTGTCCTTACCACTAGACGCAACATTTTAACTAGTTGCAGTTACTAAGCGTATTTCGAAATAAACCAAAAACCTCTACAGAGTGATAAATACAGGGGTCATATTCCGGGGTCATATTTCCCTATTCCTAAGCTTAAAAATGAAAGAAACATTTCCTTCTTAAAGTCCTTCCTGTCCTAAATCTTCACAGCAACGAAACATCAAATGCTTGAATAACGAAATGAGAAAAAAAGATACATTTTGTACTAAAAGAAACAGTTGTATTTATTCATTGTTCTACGCGATGTGCAATTTCTCAGCACATTCACCATCCATGCCTAAAACTGTATTCCAGTCCTCTACTTTTCACTGGATCACTTGCGGTCGACAATGACGATCATTTACGGTTGAGGATCATTTGCGGTCTACTTTGGGAATCGTTTGCGGTACTGTACAGAACTAAGAACCCGAGACTAAGAAATTCGTGACTCGCTAGGCGGGTGCTAGTCCGAAGTTGATACTTAAACGAGGCTTATTATTCATTCAAACAGCTTCTCCATGGTAACACTTGACAGTTAACTGATGGATTTCACGTGTCTTTTCCTCGGCAAATTCAGGATCCACTGGGATTCTTAGTCTTGAAGATATTCTTCAAGTATGAGATGTAGTTTTGCTGTTTTTGCTATGTTTTTAGGTAGTAGATCAAGTATTTTTTTTTTCTTCGCAAAACCAGTAAAATTCTCTACCAGTACTAAAACAACTGAGGTAACTCGTGCTCGGGCTTCTCTGTTGCTGTTCCTTTTGTCTGGCGAAATCCTGTACTATCGAAGTCATTAACCGGATACTCTCATTTGGGGTGTTATCCGCCGAGGCCGAAGGCCTTCTCGATCTGCATAATTCTCGGATGATACCTCAACCTCATCCAATAATTCCTAATTGTCATACAAAGTCTGTTGTTATAAGTAAGGACTAAATTATCGGTGTGAATTTTGTTCATATTTTTAGGTATTGAGAATTTCCTGAACTTGCTTTAGAAAAAAATGGGTTTTCCCTAGCTTCAACTCAAACCATACCTCCGTCAGTTGTCATGTCACAATATGCCTTAAAAGGACTTTTAGTCCTTCCAGGGTCAATCCAGTACTCCCCGTCGCCATTGGAGATACCTAAGTCCTTGATTTCTTTGCAGGATCGTGTCGCTACAACAAAATAGATATCAACATTAGAGATCAACTTTGAAGAATGCGCCTGCAATCGTTTTCAAAGAGACTTAAAATAGTATTAATATACAGGTAATCGGCTTCCCGGATCTTGCTTCATCCATCCAGATGAGCAGTGATTCCTGCCTGTTGCTGGAAGTAACTTAGAGTTGAGGCTACCAGGGAGGAAAATCATTAAAAATAATAATGCTTGTGAACAGATTCCCCGGCTTGAACCTGTACTCTAGGCTAATTCCAGTTCATAGCTAAGAATCCACGACAAATTTGTTTGCCTCAGTCTAATAAATTAAAAGCAGAGAATGCGATAATTGCCTGTTCTACTGAGATATTTACCGTTACACTTCTTGCCATCTCCTTTGTAACCGGGTTTGCAGGTGCAGGTGAAAGACCCTTCAGTGTTCTTACATAACGCATTTCTGTCACAGTTATGGATTTTGCTTGTACACTCGTCGATATCTACATGAAAATCATAAAACTGCATTTATTTTACGATTACAAGGCAAGTAAACTGATAATTCTTCCTTTACATTCTTCTCTTTCAAATCTACGTTACAGATGAACGCGATGGCTTGTGTGGCTATGGTAGTGTTATAAAATTACCTGGACAATTTGTTCAAAAGCTGAATAACGCTATCCGCCAGATAAATCACCATCCAGTAGATAACGCAGTACGTTTCACTAATACTTATCCACTGTGTTGTGATTTATCCGATGCAAAGCGCTATCTAAAGTTTGAACGACCGGTGCCAGGGAGAATAAATACAAGCAATGGAATGAACGCACGTGCTGGATGTATAAACTATCGTTAGGTGATTAAGAACTTAGGGTGGATTTCCACTTCCGCGTAATATTTATGTGCGTACGCAAGTAAAATGTACGCGCGTAAATATAATAGAGGCAGTCAGGGCCCTGGAGGCAATGTATGAAAGGCCGCGTGTAAAAGTTGAGCGAGGTTCAAGTTTTACGTTTACGCACAACCTTTGATACATAGCCCTTATTTTATATACGTACTTAAAACTAAAGCGAAATATTGTTTCACGTATGCGCCGAAAAAGACAAGGTAATACCTTCCTTGACATTTCCTCCCGACTTTCCTCTATTCAGACATGTCAGACCCCTTGGGGCTTTTTATTGCCTTCAGTCTGAATTGGGGCGACCTTGAGGTCTAAAAGTGAAATTTTCGTTTTCGACTTTTTTTTTGTTTTTCAAATCAAATCAACTGTTACGTTATTACCAGTGAAGTTCTTAAGTCAAAACAAATATATCCCCAAACGGGAAGTTCGTAATTGTTTTGATTAAAGGAATCAAAATTCGTGTAAAAGGTTGTTCCACACTGAAGATTAAAAAGACCTGTCTCAGCCCTGGTGACAATTCAGTCCTGCAGGCCAAAGTCTGATTCAGCCCTTCCTGGAGCCATTTGAACACAATCCAGGCCAAAAAAGCTCAATCAAAAGGCTATTCCACCCCACGTTAGGGCCCATTTCAGCCCTGGGACCAAATCAGCCCTAGCTAATTGGACTGTATTGGCCCTGATTTAAGGGAACCAAATTAGACTCAAAAATAGGACTGTATTTTACTTATCGAAACGGCCGTATTTTTAGGGCTAAAACAGATCTGTCTGATTTAGAGTGCACACATTAGTGCAAGTATTCTTTTACTGCTCAAAATTCCGATTAAATGCCCACTAGGGGCTTATCAGAAAGTTTTGACCACAAAAGGTATAAAAAGTAATAATAGTTCTGTACATCCACTATAAAGCATATTTATTTAGTCTATAATTTAATAAATAAAATCAGAACAGAGGACAACTAAGTCGGTCGATCAGTTTGCGAAGCAAAAGGGCAAAATATGGAAGACATTTAAAGCAAAGTTCAGTACTTACCAACGCATTTGCCGCCATTTCCAGAGTATCCAGCTTTGCAAGTACATTTGTATGAGCCCACGGTATTCTGGCAAGCAGCATTCACAATACATCTGTGATAGTTAGTTGTGCATTCGTCAATTTCTAAAAGAAATCACTGTGTTTCATTCACTCACATTTCCTTTGCTACGTGCTTATTTTCTGAAATGATTCTCAACTTGAATTCATCATAAAACTCTTGAAAAGAAAAAACGAAATTACTTTGAATTTTACCAAACACTGGACACAATGCTTTTATCTCACGTTATGACACCTTAACAACTGTCTAATAAGCTTGGCTGCATGCCCATTTTTACCTTGATATAGTCGTACGAGTTTGAAACATAAACTGAAACAAAGTTAATAACAGTGGAATGGCTATAAAGCCCTACAAGCGCCTTTATTACAATAGTACGTTTTTTTGTTAGAGGTGTTTGGACTCAACCGACGGTGTGAAACGTTCAATAGCATTCTTATCATTTTGATCCTTTTCACCAATAAAAACCTAGCCTGTGTACAGACGCCCCCTCACCTCAAAAAAGGGGGAGGGGGCGTCCGCTGTACACAGGCCGGCTACAAAAACGTCGCATTCATTTATTGTGAAAAAAAAGAAAGAAAAAATCTTAATCTTAAGCTTTGATGCATTCTCAACCAATCTCCTCTACTAACTATGACTGAAAGATGATACTACATTAATGTGCGCTTACATTAGATGGCTTTTCTGTTGTTTTGGTTACATTCCTAGCATAAAATATTGAAGTGAGCCACAACCCTTTACAGAACATAAGATTACCCCAGGTGCCAACTAACAGATCATTTAATGTAAGTTGTAAAACGGACCTGATGACCGCTTTTACCTCGAACACAAGTATAGTTATAGCAGTTATCGCAGGAAACGTCGTTCCAAGTGTAGCCATCATTGGCACCCACACACTTAAAATTAAAGTGTAATGTTACAAAGGAAAATTTGTAATATTACACTTTTTAACGAGTAAAGCGTTACACAGAATTTTCAGTGTTGTGTTACGCTTTATGTCGGGTAATTTTACGCAAACTTTAGTGTAAAAGAGCTGGTACTCTTAACATGATAATATTACACAGTTAAAGGTATACTTTTACAATTTTTTCTATTGTAACATTACACGCAGGGTACGGTGTACATTTTACCCGTTTTTACAGCGTAAATGTATACCATAGTAAAGGTAATTTTACACTAATAAACTTATAGAATTAAACACACCTATCGGTGTTAGAGTATACTAATAACACAGAGTAATATTACACAATTTGTAGTGTTGTGTTACTCGTTTTTTCGGGTACTTTAACACCAACTAAAAGTGTTAAAATTGAAGTGTATTGTTAGAAAAGAAAAATTATAAAGTTACACTTTTTATGGTGTAAAACACTACACAGAAATTATGGTGTAGTGATACTCGTTATTTTGAGTATTTTTACACCACGTTTAGGCTGAAACTATAGGTATTTTTAACATTTACTTACAGAGTAAATGTATACCACAGCGGAGGTAATTATGCACTCACATGTGCATACTTATACGTTTATAGAATAAAACACCCACTCTCTTTTGTAAAAAAAAAAAAAAAATATCGAAGCAAGAAAATCTTCATCGCGTGAATAAGTTATCTGAGCCGCTAGTTGTACATGTAGCAGGTATATACTTCAGCTGCAGTCTAAGGTCTCATTTCAGATATATCGTGCGAAATTCACGCAACTGCATTTGTATACATGTGTAAATTGAAAGGTGTTTTAGCTAAATTAATGAAATGACCTAAACCGCTAACGATGCATCACTCCATTGACAGGACTGTCATTTGTGCGGGTTTCTATCTTTCCTGAGAAATGTAACACTATGTTTCTTTCTTCTTCTTCTTATTTTCTTTTCTTTTTTTTCTTCATTGTCCATTGTCTTTGTACTATCGATTTAATTCAGACCATGTTCCTTTTCCGCGTGTTCTCGAAGAGGAAATTTACAGCAACATAAATTACGTGACTGAGTCAAAAGCCGCAGCAGATCCAAAGATCACGTATAGTCAGTCACCGGGAGCTTAAGTGACAGGGCGCGAATTTTCGTGCAATCAGGATCGATGATGTTGCCGATAAAGACACTTGAATACCGTTTGTTTTCATCTTTTGTTCCAACCGTCCTCCACGAAGGTTGTACTAAAATTAAGCGCCGTAAATTTGAAGATTTTAACTCAAAGTCTTCATTGAGTTCAAGTTAACGAGGATGTAGGGCCGATTATTAGAGCAAAGGATGATGGAGGCTCCAAATGACTGCTAAGAAGAGAGCAAAACCATGCATTCATGTTCAAAGATTACGACGGCGCATTTCGCATTTCGAGGTGAGTATACTTTCCGTAATTTCTGAGTTTTATGTTAAAACTATAGTCTGGCCCTAGATTTCTTGAGGCTTTTGAAGTATTGTTTTACCGTACTGCAACACCTTGAGCGGTTTTCCTACTGTGGGAGAGCGCGATGCGATATCAAAAGCGCATTGTGTGGTGTTAAGCTTTGAAATCTCGAAATTAAGATAACCTCGCTATTTCGCCTCAAATTTTTGTTTAGGCTTGTTAGGAGAATAGCCTGAGAGGAGACAGATATATACGACTAACATTAGAAATATAAATACTGGATATAAGCTGACTGAAATGTTTTGTGAATATTGCCGTTGGTTGTTCGTTTGCTTTTAACCGCCAAAAGGTCGCGTGACATGACGTCAACAGCGAAGACTGCATTGTATCACCTTGTTGTTTTTGCAGACACAAATTGAAGCTTAAAATATTTATAGCGAATTTAATTACTTTTAATTCGAGTGGTTTTGCTCTTTGCAAACAAAAGACGTGTATTACAAGCGTACCACCCGAACTGTTCGGGGATCGTGATGTCACGCGCGACATTTGATTCCATACATTTACTATTCAAATGATCGGTAGAAATGCTTCATAAAACACAGAATTTTGCACCTTTTGATCCCAAATGTTGATATAATGTAAGTTATCTTTATTTATTTTTCTTACATTATACCTAGTGGCTATTCGTACCGGACCTGTACATCGACTTGTATTTGATATGTAGAATAGAGATAAATCCAAACCAGAAAAATATATTAAGCTTGCCTAATTTTTATATGTGATTTCGCAGACAAAAACCTGTAATTGCACGAGGCTTAAAAAGGCTTAATATCATTTTCATTACTTTACCTGTGTTTTGTTTTCATCATGGCCCTGGTCCACCGGCCAGGTGGTTATGTGAGGTGGTCATGCCCTCCTTTGACTAACGACACAGTCAGGTGGTTTTGCCCGCTTGTTTCCAGGGGACTCATGGATTGGAATAAAACGTGTTTTTCGAGTAATTTTGTGATCAGATATCTGAATTGAATCTGAAGCTTTCGTTTCAATACCAAGTTATAAAGTCGTATAGCTGTGTTTTGTTTTCATCCTGGCCCTGGTCCACCGGCCAGGCAGTTATGTAAGGTGGTTATGCCCGCCTTTGACTAACGACTCAGTCAGGTGGTTTTGCCCGCCTGTTACTGGGGGTCATTGATTGGACTAAAACATGTTTTTTGAGCAATTTTGTGATCGGATATCTGAATAATATTGTATAGTGAAGCTTTCGTTTTGATACCAAGTTATAAAATCTTGTAGTGTGTTTTGTTTTCATCATGGCCCTGGTCCTCCGGCCAGGCAGTTATGTAAGGTGGTTATGCCCGCCTTTGACTAACGACTCAGTCAGGTGGTTTTGCCCGCCTGTTACTGGGGGTCATGGATTGGAATAAAACATGTCTTTTGAGTAATTTTGTGATCGGATATCCTAATTGTATACCAGTCAAACTTTTGTTTCCGTACCAAGTTATAAAGTCTAATAGTGTGTTTTGTTTTCATCATGGCTCTGGTCCACCGGCTAGGCAGTTATGCAAGGTGGTAATTTTCATGCCCGCCTTTGACTAATGACTCAGTCAGGTGGTTTGGCCCGCCTATAGTGTTACTGGGGGTCATGGATTGGAATAACACATGTTTTGAGTTATTTTAATTTGTGATTTGATATCTGAATTGAATATCTGAAGCTGTGTTTTGTTTTGTAGAGGAGGAAAAATGTACTTGATTGTTAAGACTCTAGAGAAAAAACCTTTTTACATCTTAAACCTAATATGTAATTATTTTGTGAATGAAATTTGATTTAAGTAGTTTGCCTTAACCATGTTGTTCAAGAGAGCATTATTGTGTTAGTTCAATTAGAAGGAACTCCAAAACACTCAGTCCTATTTTCAACCCTCATGACCGATACAATACATTAAGAACACTTTAATATCGACTAAAACAAGTCTTGTTTTTTTTTTTCAATTTCATTTGTCACGCAGGTTGCAGCCACAAGAGGACAATATCTAGAAGAAGCAAAAAAGATGCACTGCCATCCATTTTTACTGTGGGAAAGGCATTACACCATGACTGTAAAAATACTAATAATTGGAGAGGAAGACTTCCTGCTAACTATCTTTCCTGGGTATCACCTTGCAGCTCAAACCTTGAACCTCCTCGGGCTCTGCCCTAAGCACTGATTTGTGATAGGACAGTACGCATCACTCCTAAGCAGTTAGACAGTACACACCATGTCTTGCACACTTGACCTTTCATTTTTACTTATTGTTAGAAGTCTAGCTGCTTATTCAGTGATTAAAAATGTGATTTCCTATATTTTTCAAATGTGTAATTGTTTTGCCTAATACTATAAATTGATGTAATATTACTTTTCTGTTAATGTTTTATTACCCCTATGGGAAGTACAATTTTACACTTGACCAAGGTGTAAACCATTCACAGTTACACTGTTTGGTGTGTAAATGAACCTTCTGGTTGCATGTCAAATTACACTATTGGACAATGTGTAATAATACACACACAAAAAAGGCTGCCGGGGCTGGCAAAGCTACTACATTATCATTTGGTGTAATATTACTGTTCTATTAGTATTTTATTACACTTATAAGAACTGCAATTTTACACTTGACCAAAGTGTAAACCACTCACATTACACTGATTGGTATGTAAATATAACCTCTAGTTGTGTGTTAAATTACACTATTATAAAATGTGTAATAATACACAGAAAAAAAAGGCTGCCGGGGCTGGCAAAGCTACTACACTATCATTCGGTGTAATATTACTGTTCTATTAGTATTTTATTACACTTATAAGAACTGCAATTTTACACTTGACCAAAGTGTAAACCACTCACATTACACTGATTGGTGTGTAAACATAACCTCTAGTTGTGTGTTAAATTACACTATTATAAAATGTGTAATAATACACAGAAAAAAAAGGCTGCCGGGGCTGGCAAAGATTTTACACTTTTTTTTGGAGTAATGTTACACTTTAATTTTAAGTGTGCAGAGTGTGAAAACAGTCTTCGTTTTTCCTGTTGTTTGGTTGTTGCGGAGCCCAGAACCGAAAACTGGTTATTTCCTTGTTTGTCCAGACAAATGATCCCTCAACGCTTCGGTCATTAAGTCCAATCCATGATCGCTCTCCATTATGACGGTGCTGAATGTAGACATTTTCTTCTTGGTTGTGCACTGTTACCAGATGTGAGTTCATAGTTGAACAGTTGGACACAGCAGTCACCCAAGGTGCGCATACAGAGCTTGTTAAATAGCAGTATCCATTGAAGTAATCCCATCCAGATGGACAGATGTCTGCGCGTATACAAAGTAGGAATTAGTGAACTACAAAATGATATTGCTTAAAATGTATAGCTTTAGGAGCAGTTACGTACTTCAGGCATTTTTGTTATTTCCGGTTTTGCGATAAAAAAGGAAATGGAAAAGCAGAAGCTTTTTGTTCAGGACAAAATAAATGCAATACATAAGAGAAAAACAACTGCAAGCATTAATATATAGATTTAGCCAGGGTTAGAAGCGAAACTCTGGTTAATGGTATAATAGCGGGGCTCCCGCGCGCGCGAAGCGCGCGTGGGACAGAGCCCCATACCCATGGAATATGGTCAACCTCTTTTCGTTTGGTTGTCACGTGATTGACCGAGCGTACGTACGTACGTACGTACGTACGTACATACGCGTCTACAGATTGTATGGGTGGGGTAGGGGAGACTTTGAAAAGGAAGGGAGGGGTGTCTCAGGCGTGTCTTGGCAAGTCCACATCTTTAATATATGATTTTAATATAGGACATTCTCAATATGGTCAATTGACAGCTGTCAAAACAGGATAGTCACTGACCAGTATCCCATGACCATATGGCGGGCTCATGTGTCAACTCATAGAGGTGACGTGATTTATTTGGAAGCTGTCCGCTGACCAGTTAATTGTTTTACTAGGTCGCGAACAATGTTCAATCTCATACTTTTTACTAGTTTGGGAGCACAGGAAAACTGATAATGCACACATATTGGACATCAATGTTTTGATCAATTGACAGCTGTCAAAACAGGGTACCCGCTGACCAGTATCACTGGACCGTATCGCGGGCTCAGGTGTCGACCCATCGAGGTCAAGTATTTTTTGAAGTTATCCGCTGACAAGTTACTAGTTTTTAAGTGATCGCAGGCTCAAGTTCAATTTTTTTCTAAATTCATATGAAATATGTTGTGTTTATGTGCTGCACAATTAAAATTTTGATTGCAAACTGACCTCGGACACGAAAATTCAGCCAGCTGTTACAGGCAGGGAAGACAGTTGCTTTTGACTTTTCTCACCATGGTCACGCGTTGGTCACGCTCTACGTCCAATTTTTATGCTTCGATTGGTCAAAATTTGACAGGTGAGGTCATGCAAAAAATTTATGCAGCATCTTGAATCTTGTTTACTTTGACAGCTGAAGCTGACAGAGTTTTGTACCAACTTATGTTTTTAACTGTCTTTTTGCACTGGATGTACAAAATGAAATTCAGCTGCTATCAGGAGTCTTCTGTCATTCATGGCTAGTTTGTTTATTGGGTTTTTGGTTAAGAAATACGTCGCTTGTCAAAGTCGGAAATCCGATTTCGGATGGCATCGTTTTCGTTTTCACCTTGCTTAATGCGTAAGAGGGTTGCAAAGTCTGAAGAGATACTGGCCTTACTTTAAACCTTCCAGGAGCTGCATCTCGAGTGGTAAGCCTGAGTAATTATTGTATTTGATGTTTGTTTTTTATTTCTAATTTAATGAAGTCGACCGTAGTTTATGCGGCTATTTTGTTTACGCACGTTTGTAAGATTTGAGGCAATGATCTGACCGAGTATCAGGTTTGTTATATTAAAGCTTACAGATCTTTTAAAAGCCTTTAGACATTTTCTCACCTCAAATAGAAAGAACACGTTCTAAAGAATATTTAGTTTTAATTGTGGCTGTAAAAGAAGCTTTGAGCGATTTTCTTGCCTCGAGTTCGTCTTTGAAAAAAGCAAACACCGGGAAGCCGGCTTAAAACAAAGACTTAAGCTTTAAGCTTTAAGACTCAGGATTTTTAGAGACACCTTTAATACTTGTCTTCCTGAATGAGAATTGTAGTCTCTGTATATGTTTCACCGAATTATATTTCTTTTTATTGATTATTAGTAGTCTCTCTTGTAATTTTAATCCCTGTGCCGATTGTTTTCAGTCGTTCAGTGAACAACGCTTCCCGGAGTACTACTCAAAATGCCGTGCGTTAAACCATTTTAAAATAAAAAATAAACGTAATAAATTCTTTATTATGTTGGAGCGTAACTCTGTTAATGTTCATTCAAACACTCGCACAGCTCGCACTTCAAAAGTGAGAACCTGATGGCCGTATAGGTGATTTTGGAAATTTGTTTAACAGTTTATATGAATATTGAATGAGTGCAATTTGTATTGTGAAATACTGCTTTCTGTCCGAGGTCGACGGTACGATAAAAACAGTGCCTCATACTACTGTTTCACATCAGATGTGATGTATAAATGGTATAAAAGGTTGGTTTACACGTACCCAGATTTGTTGGCGAGATTTTGCAAAGTAAACTTGTCGAACGCAAAAAAGTTGGCCTGATTTTTTTTCCAGGCCTAATTAATCTACGGTGATCAAGAACCATTATGGCTCTTAAATGTGATCGAAGATGATTACCAGTTTTTGGGTGTACATACAAGGCCATCAGCTCTATGTAAGATTTGGTTCACTCTTGGGCTGTTTGCAAATTATTTTTCTCTAAAATCAGGTAGCCTTTCCCTCAAAAGTCGCATAAAAGTGCTCTAAAGTTAACTGAATTGTGGAATTCGAATACAAGTTTATTGTTTAATTTAAATTATAAATTTATTAATGGGAGCCTCGCTTTTAGCCGTGGCTAAATCTATATATTATGCTAAACGGGACGGCAATGAATATGGCATCAAGATCAATAGATCTAATTAGCAAAAAAATAAAACAAATTGCACGTGCAGCACACTCTTTTTTCTAATTAGCAAAATCAAACAAATTTGCACGTGCAGCACGCTTTTTGTCTTTGTTTGCAGTTGTTTTGATCAACTACAACGCTGTTTTATAGGACTAAAACGTCAAACTTACTAGTTACACATTATTTTTGTGGAGGAATGGTCGTATGTCCTTACCCAATATTTTGTCTCCTGTGTTCATGTTCGCTTTTATTTTTCACTGCCGCTCATTTTCACCTTGCTGGCCGCTAGCAGTTCTCATTGTCTCACAGCCGCTTTGAATTTTCATGTTTTTCTTCCTACAAAATTCGTCTCTTTTGTTTTCAATTACTCGCTCTAGCTCTTTCTCGGTTATCCACGTGAGTGTAAACATCAAATATAATGTCGAAAAAGACACGACTTTGTTGTTGTTTTTTCTTTCTAAAAGTCCGGCGCCCAGGCGATTTCTTTCCAAATACAACCTTGAGTTGCATTTGGGTTGCCATACCTGTTGATTGAATTATTTTACATTGGTATGCCTGTGGTGCGGATGGACGGTCGGGCGGGCGGGCGGTCTGTGTACGGTCACGTGATTACCAAATTTTCTTGGATGGGTAGTTTACCACATTTTTTTACCCATGGTGCTCCGCTGCGCGCGATTCGCGCGCGAGAGCTCCGCTATAAAGCACTCCATTATACACATTAATAGGTATTTGGGAAAAGGGATGAACGTTGTTTTTTATCATCACCCGAATACAATTTTTATTATTTCCTCCAGTTTTTGTGCATTTCTTTTGTGTATTCCCTGTATCCTTTTTTTTTTCATTTAGAGACTTGTAAGTACTGAAGTTTATTAGTTTTGTAGCAGTAGAGCTCTTACCTGACAAAACTGTGTACGTTACTGACAATGGGTCATATTTTGCTTCATATAATTCTTTGACACAAGCACGAAAGCCTGTCTTGTTGATGCACTGCAAGAAAGGAATATTTATCAGCTCATTAAGTAGTTCACACAGACGGCGGACGGCGTATTTTTTCCCTTGCTAGCAGAAAAAAAACTATAGAACAGTTCAGGTAGGTCTTGACCAGAAGACTTTCCGTATTTCTCAGTTTGACGCATATTAGGAAGTGATCAACCCTGTTCAACAAGTTTGCTTTACAGGGCTTCAAAGGGAAGAGGAAAGAGGACAATTGAGTGCGCGTTATTACATGTCAACAACTTAAACCTCTCATGCGATAATTGCTGTAACTGCTGTCAAACTTCAAATGTTTGGAGGCGAAATATGTCGCGTTCACGGGAAAGTAGACCGCGCGCGTCACGGAAACAGCAGATAAAAATAACCTTCATCGCACGCGTGGGAACTTTCAATAGATTTCAAATAATCATCATGGGGCGCAGGGATTCGCTTTCTTAGCTCATTCTCTCTTGCTTAACATCCGTTTTCGTTATCTCATTGCTTTTTGTTTGACAGCATTTGCTTACCTTCTGCTATACAGCTACACCACTTTTTTTTAAACACAGTTTTAACGACTTTCCATAATTCATGGCCATTTTAGTAGCTAAGGGTTATGCCTGATCGTTAGTTAAACATAAAATTTAACTTTTGGGCTGTTTTTCGCACGATCTGTGTTTTATAAGCTGTTATTCTCAATAGAACGCATTCTGTATTGTAAATTATTAAAAACTGAATCATTGGATAATGCAATTCTAGCATTTTGATTGGCTTAGCCGTTATGGTATATGAGCTAATATACCATGTTCTCCATATATGGTCAGTGTACGCGTCAGTTTAAAATTGGAAGCTAGCTGAGATTTTTTTTCGCGAAGGATAGAACGGCGCCCGAAGCAAATCGTTTTAATTCATTTATTAGAATACTAGAAATGCAATTTCAACGAAAGTAAAAAGACAAAAACAAACAAAAAAGCCACAAGAGCTTGTTTGAAAGTTTGTCGAAAAACACATGAAAACACATGGAACTAAAGTACCTTGACCAGCTAGGAAAGAAGAAAAGTGTTGTTTCTTCATGATCGCGAAGCCATTCGCCAATCGAGTCACTCGCCGATAGATAACTGCAGCTTGTTTATCCGACATCAAGAATATAAATCACAAGTAACCAGCTACAAATACAGGCTATGCTGCCATTCACTAGAGCAATCGAGGCGGCAGTATAGCTTCTTTTCTCGTTGAGCAAAACCAGCTTGTGGCTTCAAACAACTTCATAACAAGCGACCGAGGTAATACCGGTAGTTTTTCTCCGTTGTTCTTACTTTTATAACTGCACCGAAAATCCAAATTCATAGTAATTTCGACGGCTGTCACTTAAAAATTCCTTTCCTTCACATTATCTGCCAGGTTTTTTAAGCTGTTCTGCTGTGTAAAATCCTAGAATCACGATGAGTTTTTAAAAAACTAATGTTCATCGCACAATGTTTTGATTTTTCATTCATGCAGTCTAGGCGAGCCCGGTTCGCGCGTTGACAGTTTTGATAGACGTGTGACATGTCAATAGCGGAAGTCCCTTGTCTTTTCCGGTTTGTTCTAGTCGGGGCGATTCAACGAGATTTTGGGGGCGTTTTTAATAAAACAATTATTCCACTCGGGCTTGTTGGATATGAAATGATTATAGCCAACTCGGCGCTATGCGCCTCGTTGGCTATCTATCATCTCATATCCAACGCGCCCTCGTGGAATAATTGTTAAATAGACAGTGTTAGTTACAGTCATTCGTATTTTGAAATTCATAAGGTTTTTAAACATGCACACAACACATGTAAGTGTGGTTGCAAGTGGTATGTTACACAAATTCATAAAATATATTAAAAAGTAGATAAATAAACAAATAAAAACATACCTCTACCCACTCAGCTATGCTGTTATGAATTGGACTCTGACTTCCATTTTTGGTGGAATGATTGGCAGAAACAAACACATGTGGACTTGAGTTATAAACTTTAGTAAAAGAAGCGTCCTGTCAAAAGAAATTGCATAATTGTAAAAATTCAGTCTCTGACATTTACATAAAGGTAAAGACTTTTTCCGCATTAGGGCATTTATAATCTATATTTCATTTTCATTTTAAATATTCACTGAAATATGACAGGCAGCCTGCTAAACTGACTAAATGCAACTACCATCACTAGAGACATGATAGGGAAACCGTTTTCTTTTGCTCTCCGATAGTAAATTTATTCAATAAAATTAAATGCACTGTGACGGGAATTGAAACCCATAAGACTAATGAAAGGACTGGAATACTGACCTTGCAGAAGGCATTATAGTGACTCTGCGCGGGAGGTTTATCATTCGAAAAGTAAATCGAATTGTGTTCTGAGAAGGGAGGCTCGTCAAGATATGAAAACGCTAACCAATTCTGAAATAAAGTAAATAAATAAATAAATAACAATAAAAAGGAAGAATTCTATTTCATTCTCACGTCCTAACTACCAAAAGATTGTGACAACGTCGAAAATAAGATGGTAATCTATCAACAAGGTTTGTATAAAACAGCCACCGACATCTTAGGTTACAAGAAAGCAATAACATGGTTGGGTTGACAAAGCCGGATAAAGAGGAAACAGATGGAGGGAAATATATTTTCAAGCAAAAAATCGTGCATCTCTGCTGGACCAACTGCTGGAAGCGTAAAAAAGCGAAAAGATGAGATGGAGAAAGATACCAATCTGCTGCACTTAGTTTCCAATGAAAAACGCTGTTCGTTCGATTCCATGAGATTAGCGTTACTTACAACAACAACGTCTTGGTGTGATCCGGCGTAGTTTTGCAATTCTCTCAAGCAAACTTTACAGGATGATTGTGTGACATCTTCAATCCATGCGCTTGCTGCGTCACGTTTTAATCCTGGATTGTAATGCTTGGCAGTCACAAATACCGACGGTATCACAGAGAATTTTCCCTGAAAAATAAATCCGAATCAGGCAACTCTTAACTCTTAGAAAGCCACGAACAGGAATCAATTTCGTATTTATTGCAAAAAGGAACCCATGACATTTGTGATATGCTGGAAATTGGTAAAAGAATAATTTGTACTACCATGACGTTGTTCGACTATAAGTGTACGGCTGCACCATTACGACAAATCACTGGTGATGCATATTAAAAACGATCTGTTATTAACTGAGTGACCTCAGTAGAAGTGAGGCGTTTCAAAAGATATGATCTTGAAAAGAATGGGAAGGATAAGAAAACCCAACAAAGGCCACTCGCTGTAGGAAACATGACAGTCGCACAAGTCGTACCAGTCCACCACTGTGACATGCGCACTTCACCAGTCACGCCACCCACTGGAACACCTTGGTACGCCATCCAATCAACTGTCACGTTAGCATACGACTTTCGTTCGTTATATCCTGCCGCCATCACACAAGCAGTGAATCCGTCGTTATCTACATTTTCAACCCACGATACTACCGCGTCATGGACTTACGATTTGTCACTGGTATCCATATGATTGACAGTTATCTGCACTTGAATGGGTTTGTCAGGGTAAAACACAAACGGTTTGAAATGAATGGCATGACAGTGAGAGTAGCCCAAGGATGAAATATGTGGCATGTGACGACGACCACGCTGAAAAGGAAATCCTAGAAAACACATTTCAAGATGAACTATAGATTAGTATGACAAGCATGCGGAGCAAAGGGCATTTAAAAATGTTAACAAAGCAGCAAATGAGTGGTTCTTAGAAAGAGGGTTGTTACTCTCTACCATAGAAGTCCTGGGAAAAGTTCACAGCAGACAATGTGTCGCTTGTCACTGCATTAGGTCAATAGCATGGCAAGAAGATATGGAGAGATTAGAACTTACATCTTGAGCAGTGCTACACGGTGGCAACTGGTCAAGCCTTTTAGCGCTAAAGGAAAGGAAAGTGAACATTTACTGTAGCTACTACTTCCCGCAGAGAAAAGGTTCAGTTCCAATTATGCTTAAAAAAATATAACTCTAGGAAAGGGCGTTATCCAGATATGTTAGGCAGAGCTACGTCCGGGTACGAAATGCAAACGACTACTACTACTACTACTATACTACTAATCTCAGAGAACAAGAATCAGTTTTAAATTTGCTTCAGTTATACATATATAAAAAAAACAACAAATATTTTCGTGGAGTATTGACTAAAAATGCTTAAAACAGAAGTGTATCAGCCACTTTTTCTGACCAGTATTCTTATTAGCATTGCCCCTGTCAAGCGTTTTAGCAAAATTACGTAAAATTCTGTACTTCCATAAAGTCACGCATCTATCGCCGTTTTCCCTCCAGATTACAAGGGTAAGTAAATAGCTCATTCAAAAAATTCGCTAAGATACTGAAATGTAATAAAAACAAATATCACTTTTTAACAGATTCAAAAACAACTGTCCTAACCTTCACAGCTGCCAGGATGTTTTAAGGTAAAAATTAGTCGATGTAGACAAACTTCTCTTTCAAACAAACATCTGTTGTCGTACGTAGTGCCCTTTGATGAGAAAACGGGTTCTTTGTAAGATGGGCAGCTATCCACACATACACAGCGTGCATCATGGGGTCCAAACGCCTTACAGAAGCTGTGATAATAACACGTAACGTCTATGCAGGGATCCAGGTCTGAAGATAATTAAGCAAATAACAACAGATTAGATTTAAAGTGCCCATACCTTAAAAATTTTTTTTTTTAGAATTGAAAATGCACATTACTATGAGAAAGTGCGCGAAAAAAAAATTGCTTTGAACACAATGTTATTAAAGAGAATTTTTTGACACGTTCAAATTTACCGCTATTTTGGCACACCATTTGTGCAAGTCTTCACTCGGATCCCTTTCAGAAAAAAAGGGGCTCTGACGTAGATTAAGAAACTATAACGTAAATTAAGGGACACGTGGCTTTAGATGCAAGAAAACAAGTATAGACTCTGCAAAAATTTCGTTTAATTACAAACTGAAACTGCTTTAAGATGCCAATAAGGTGCATTGTAGTTATATGCGACACTGGCGACTCTAAGAAAAGGATAAGAATGCATATGATCCCGTTTTTCAGTTCCTGATTTTTTTTCTTATGACATCACATATGAGCCTATTAATTTCGTGATCAGGAGCACCAGTGTGCCAAAGAAATTTAGTCTTAATAGTTTTCAAAAAAAATCTCATTTTCTTGAATACACAAATTTATTGCGACGAAATTATAGTAGTAACATGTTCTTTCAGTCAACCAAATCTACAATCCCCCAAAATAGAGACAACAAAAAATAGCATCAAGTAGAGAAAAAAAGCTCTCCATGAAACAACTTCAAAAGATTCATGTCATAAAATATACTTGATACACTGCAGCATACAGCCTTTACCAAGGGTTTGATATATTTTTTACGTACCTCCAATCACCAGGTAATCCAGTTGTACGATGTCCTTATAATTGGCGTTATTGCTGTATCTTTTCATACACACCTCGGTTTCGTTTGTAAAGGTATGCTAGACACAATCATTAGAAGTATCAGATTATCAATCATTAAGCATCATCAGGTATTTTCTTACCATAACTACTATGTAACTAGGTACACCAAGGTCGTTTAGAAAGCGAAACCGTGGCGTGCACAGGTTGGTTGGAAAAATTGGGAAAAAACAAAACAAAAAAAAACTTTTTTGGACTCCTTAAACGACATGAAAAATTGAAACAGAGACAATGCTAAAAGTAAATTAGAAGGGAAAAGATAAGAAGGCAGCCGAAGGACGCAACGACTAAGAAAAATGGCTCCAAGTTTCATATTTGTTACCTGAATCCACGCAGTAACTGCGTTACAAGTTGCGGAAGCCGAGAAACGAGAGTTGTTGTTACGGTAACTGAGTCTTGGTGAAACCATTACTACCGGAGGGGCATAGAAAGCATCAGTGAACTTTATTATCTAAAAAAACAAGAAAAGAATCAGCGATCTTAAGTTTTTCTACACATATGCGGTATATGATATATATCTTGTTTAAATAGTTAACGATAACAACATCAGAGCTCCATGAACTTATGAAAGACTTTCTATTTATGAATATAATAAGTGACTGAGAAACCAAAACAGTATAGTTGATTAGTTACTTTACCTGACAGAGAGTGTTGTTTTGTTGCTTGTTTAGTGGTGAGTTATTCTTTGTTGTTACAAGGCCATGGATCAAGGTAAAATTCAGCGTCATCAGCTTAACAAATGCTATCCAGTCCTGAAGGACAAGTGAAAAAGTATTAACAATGTTATCAATATATTCTTTCTCAAGTCAAGGTTGTTTCTAAGAGAAGGGAGCCCATTGCTCTGAACCTGTGTAAATCACAGGGTATCCAACATAGGATCTCTATGATAAAAGCTACGATTTCCTAGTGGGCAAAGAGCAAAGGTAGAGCTCAGGGGCAACTGGGTTCTGCTAAAGCACAGCCCCTGTAAGTTGCAGCAAGGGAGGAACCGCTTGGTTGTCGTGTGAGTCTACTTTCAAACATGTAACAGGTAACAAAAGGAATTCACTTACCACCTTGATGTTTTTATGCAGACCATCAAAAATCTTAGTTTCCCTGAGGCAAACCTTAAAACTATCTCTGCGTACATCCTCTACCCACAAGGCCAAGGCGTCCTGAGGTCTCTTGAGAATTTGGTGACGAGCTGTTACGTAAATGCTCGGAGGAATTGAGAAACGCTGAAAAAGTAAAAGGGAAAAAAAAAATAATTAATTACATTTCTTTTTCAAACAAACAAGGGTATGATATAAAGCGATGGAAGAGTGATAGAAAAAATCATTTTGAACTTGAAAGAAGCAAATTGGATGGAATTTCCTAGTGCAGATGAAAAACAACTAAGAACAGTTTTACGAATTAAACACAGAATTTGCAAATCTGCAAATAAAACGATAATCATGAACCTGGCAACGTAGATACAAAAGGAATCGAAATATAGACTTTCTCACTAAATTTTTTAGAGCAAAAATTAGCAAAAATATGAAGATTGTTAAAGCTTTTTAAAGATGTATTAATGTAAATAAAAAAATTGAAATGATCAAGAAAAGTGGAGGACAGATTGCAAGATAACTTTGATGGAAGAAAATAGAGGTAGCAATATATGTAAGATCTTGGTAAACGAATAAAGAATCGTATTTTATAATGCAACAATGTTATATCGCATGACTTAAAGATATAAGAAAGAAGTCAAATGGAACGTCTGCAGCTCCTACGAGCTAAATAAAGAAAGAGGAAGTTAAAGCCACTCAGTCAAGCAAAGCTCAAAAAATAACGTAGTGAAATCTTGTGTCTAGGTTTGAGCAAACAGAAATACCTAAATCAGTAAGAACTATTAACTTAACGAAAACGCAAGGGGAAACAGCGGTAACCTTTTCAAAGGCGATCCTTTTACACTTTTCTCCAGTAGTCCAAGAATCCAACGAGACTGTGTCTAGTTGAGCGCCAACAGGAACAGATTGCAGCGCCATCCAGTTCACTTCCGTAGTCCCACTAGAACCATCTCCGTACTCTAAAACACAAACTGTAAATTCTTTATTATCAACAGATTCCACCCAAATAGCCGCGCCATCTCCACCACTATAACTCTTTGTTGTGTGGCTTTTGGAAACGAAAACTTTCACATCCTGCCCGCCATTGAAAGGCTTCTCAAAGGAAACCTTTTCAAACGCAAACAGACCAGGAGTAGTAATGGTGAAATTGCATATTCCAGTTTTGATACTCAGCGCTGGGAAATACAAAAAAGTAAAAATAATAAAAATAAGTTGCAAAACCGAAATACAGAGATGAATGATCTCTTTTATACCTTCAACGTCTTGGTTAGTAGGTGAACCTATGAAGAAGAAAGCCAACAACCACTGTACACGGACTTCTTGCACGGTAAACATCTTGCTTCAAATGGAGAAAAATCCACTCGGTTGAACATTATACCTCTTAGCAATACGTGACAATGTGGTCCAACTTGTTTTTACGTGTTTAGTAGATGTCATTTGCTTTGTTTGTGGGGTAGGGAGTAAAGATCTTTGAGATAGTTGATTGTAAGATTTATGCGGAAACTTAGAACTGAAAATTCTAATTACCGTCTCCAGCTTGCGACCATTAAAACTGACTGACATTTTTATCCTCTTGCACCCGAATTGTAAATGATCTAAATCATCATCCGTAGACTTGTATTTCTGTCGTGGAGTGAGGTAGAATACATTGTTTTCTAAAGTCTCCCACTAACTCTTCCAAATTCAACTCAGGGGAAAAAGGCTTCTGAGAGAACGTATTTTGCGTTAGGAAAATTTCGTCGTCACTATCCATTGCCGCTCTCACAAGTGTACTGGCCCCCCCAAAAATACCAAGACAAAAATAAAAAAACACAAAAGGTTTGAAATTTGATTGTTGTCGGCTCAGCAAGCAAACAATGCGCTATTGTTCTCCGTTTCTCACCTAAGTGAGAACAAGTGGTTTGATCAAAAATTATGACAATGAAATACGTCATTGTCTGCGGTCGGATCAAAAATGACAAACAAACAGATGTCAAAAACAAGTGGCCAATTATTGCCCTGTGAAGACGACCTTTATGTAACCTATACCTCATGAATAATATCATGAAATAAGTTAGATAAACCCCTCGAACGTCGGTATTAATCCATATCTGGCTTAATACCTCTGTTCTCGGGCTTTATCTCTTACATAAAGGCAAAAAACACAACAACCCACTGAGGAATGCTGGAATTTGTGTGAACCTAGAGCACTTATAATCTTGAATAAGAAATAAACCAAACGAAAATTATATTATTTGTTTTATGTGGCCCAAAATTTTGACAGACAGTTGTCAGGTTAGGTCTCCGCCACGAAATTGATAGCCGACTTCATCTTGTCCATGATCCAAGCTTTACTGAATTATTTTGAACCCGATTCTTAAATTACTTTATTCACCAACGCCACAACAAATGTTAATATTTTGATTTAAAGATAATCTAGGGTGAATCTCGACCACAGAAAACTTTCCTGTTCTATGTTATACTTAGATAATTAAGTCAGTCTTACGAACACGAAAATTCACGAAGGTTCCATCTTGCCTCACTGAGGTGTAGCTTGTTATATGTAATATAGCGAAGGATTTACGTCACCCCGGCCAGTTTACAGAGCAAGCAATGAAGCAAGAGATATTCATTGAAAACATTTGCGATTTAGTTATGTGGCATTAACAAGTTGTTAAGATTTGCATTTCAATTTTCAGTTTATCGAGTCTGCACACTTTTTTATTTTCTTGCATGTACATTTAGGTTGCTTATAATTTCTGAATATTTCCCTAAAATTAAAATTTCCACGGCTTTTATTAGAAGCAACGCTTTCGTCGAGAAATTAACCAAAATATTAAAAGACAAACACTTTCCTCTTACTTTTGAATGCTTGATATTGATACGCTGAATTTCATTTACCATTTCAGACCGAGACAATTATACTGAGATCCGAAAATTGTAATCAGGATACTTGATTAAAATTTAGCTCGCATAAGACCACGCAACGATCTTTAGAATTTTGCTAAGCCAGCGTGTTATACTCCTCAACGCCGAAATAAAGAAAGAAATTTCAAGGACTCGGTACGGTATGGCCTCTAGTCGTATTTGAACCTTGCGGGTAAAAACCTTCAATGTTTAGACTCAGAGTGGTCCTCTAAATTGTCCAACCTAGACTTAATTTAATGTTTCGCTATAAAGTTTGCGATTCAAGGGAATTATCCTCTTTCGCCGTATTTCTCCTTCATAGCGACCTCAACATAGGTTTGTTACCCCATGTTATCTGAAGACGAACGACTTCCGCGAGACAAAGGTAAATAACTATTCTCGTTCCAACGCGTTGTCTATCTCAGAAACCATGAAGAGGTCCAATGATTTGTTATTTTCGTTCTTTTTTCAAAAGGGGGAAATATTGATACAGATAAGCATAGGTTACAAAAGGTACGTTCAAAATCTTAGAGTTATTCTTTTCAGTGGTAAATCCAAGATATGCCGGAGTTAATTTTCCCCTTTTTACAGATGTTTATTTTGCATAATGACAACATGGCAAATTATGTAAGAATCGCTGCCTAAACATTTGTTAAATTTCTGTTAAAAGATAATGTGTAATCGAATTTCCGTTGCTTTTTTCTATTGCAATATTATTATGACTTAAACTTCAACTTTTAGGCTAAAAAAAAAAAAATTGATTATTGCAGATTAGTGATAATTACCCAATGTATTTATATATTTGCGTGACATACAGGACATTTGGCTAGACCGTGGATATATACTACCCGTATGAAAAGTGAAAATATGGAAAAAAAACACTGCAAAAAAAACCCCTCCTTGATCTATGAGCGCTTTACATTAGGTATAAATGTCGTTCATTTCTATCGCCAATAAAACTAATATAAGCACTGAAAATCACGTACAGTTACACGGTTGGTTTTCCCTCAGGATACCACTCACCTTATGATTACTTCCTGATATCTTTGTATAGAACTTTGTAATAAAACGAAGAATAACCTTCGTCGTAACTTCGTCGGACAGCCTGATAGCCTGAAAAATTAACTTAAACTTTCTTGGTCAGAACTAATTTTCGGACGTAGTGCAGTCATTTCATCACGCAGTCGAGAGTATACAAAACGTCACGGTTAACTCGACCTATAATATGCTCATTTTATACATTGCATTGAAATCAAACATTTGTTTTGTCACGAAAAAAATTCATAATAACAGAACAGGTCAAGCGTGTCGTTCCTAGAACGGGAGTTGAAAAGAAAAAGGGAAAAACAAGAAATTCTGTATCAATCATGTAAGTTTAATAAACTATGTATTTGTTAAAGTAAACTGCAATTGTCTCTTTGCGACCAGATGGCGGAATTTAACAAGTTATGGACAGGATCGGAAAATAGTGAGTAATAACTACAAATAGATATTTTGGCGTTTTTAAATGGTACTCCGTACTGCCAACGTCAGTAATACTGAAATATGAGATTATTGCCCGCTGTTTTTGGTCAAACATTTTATCAACATACAAGCAATAAATAAAATTAACTGCTGGCGCCACCGGTCTGACAAACATTGAATTTCTGCGTTTAAGTTTCTTAGTCATGTCTCTAATTGTTCTAAATTGGGGATCTTTGACGTTCCAAAAACAAAAAATTAAACATATCCTGTGTTGAACGTTATCTTTGAGTTTTAATTGCTTTAAATTTTTTTTGCTTTATTGACCAAACCATTCAAGTAATTTATAAAACATCTTCATTAGCAACCTACTCAGACAAGTTTGCTCAGAATTAAGAAGCTTTTTGACACCAAAAGTTGGTAAACATACAACCGATCAAAGGAGCTGAAAAATTTGAGGTGCGTACAATATAAAACTTTTTAACAAGAATGGCAGATAGAGATGTTTGTAACTACAATATTTCGTAATCATCTATCAATTTTGATCATCATGACAGAGGACATATTCATGTCCAACGGCCACAAGTGTGCTGTATGTGAAATATTCACCTGTTAGGGTCGGGGCTTAAAAGACCTTTTCCATTTCTTTCTAGCTAGCTTTTTCTCCCAAGAAATGCTTGATCCTTAGTACTCAGGCTAACGAGTTGTAAATTGCTAGAGAATGAGTGGAATTTGCGACTTGGACTGACGGGGCCATTTTAACTTTGGGTGAAAGTGGTCAGTTGAAATTGTGAGTTACTTTTGTAAAGCCAAACAACATTGTAGTATTTACTTTTATGTAAGGTACGTCACGGCTCATCAGTGAATTAGAATTGCGACTGGTTAAGTTTGAGTGAGTGAAGTCGTATCAGGTCAAGTCAGGTTTATTTCTCTTTCCAATGAAAGAAACAGAAATTAATGAAAACAATAAGTATTTGCATTTCGTGAGACAGGCATGTAGACAACAGAAACTATAAAAGATAATAATAATGATTTATTCACCTAATATAGCGCATTTAAACATTAAAATGATCAAAAGCGCTAGAGGTAGATCAAAGATAGTTTGACAGTTGTAATAGTCGGCTTAATTTCCCTTTAAATTGACTCCTACAAAGGTACTGTTTTTATTTATTCACTCGTTCCAGTAACAACGACTGAGCATTTCCAGTAAAGCGAACAGAAAATTCGCCATAATTTGAGAAGAAAATAATTGAAGTGGGCATCTCTAATATAAAAGAAATGAATCTTAGCAACAGGCTTTAAATAACTTTCAAATATACTTCAGGCAGCTTATGATTCAAATAAATCATAAACAATAATAAACATAAGTCTATAAAAACGAAATATAAAATCATTGAAGTATAGTTAACTGTTTAAAAAGTGGCGGAGCGTGGGATTGGAAATGAGAATTGTTTATCAGTCTCATAAGAAATAGCAATTTGCAGGTTGTGTCGGTCAACTTTGAAAGCCTTCACTGTATTTTTTCACCTACATTTTAAATTGCCGTATCCTTAGGTTTTACTGTGCATTAAACATATGTGCAAAGACTGTGTAGACCAAAATCTTGAACAAAACCAGTTTTTCTTTGTATAGCATCGAAAGATGGCGCGTTTCCCTTATTGCAGCATAACTGAACCCTTTAGTTGCTTTGTCGTGCTTTTCAGTACGAACTACATGATTTTTCCTCCGCAAACTGTTCTATCCCATCTTTACAGGAGTTTTACTTACCTCATATTTCTATCAGGTTTTTAGTTCTTTTTTTCGAGGCTAAATTTATACAGTTTCACTGACGTAAACAGAGCAGAAGTTGGAATCAGAATCATCCTTGACGGAAAGAG